ACACACACACACACACACACACACACACACACTTTATGGATAATTCTGGGGGTTAAATTAAATAAATTTAATAAATGTGATTTTAATAAATGAAATAAAAGTTAAATTTCCTGTATTATACGTGTATAATAACGGGTAGCTAAAAATGAAAATGAAACAGCTGAAATTAACACAAAGAAAAACAAAGTGCACATATTTGCTGAATTAAGCAGTAAGGAGCTGAAATTATGACAAAAAGGGGGGTTTAGCTAAGAAAAGGCTTAAATGAGCTAAAAAGCTGCTACACATAAAAAACAGCAGAAAGAAGCTGGAAGGAGCACAAAAAAGTTGAAATTAGCTAATGAATAGCAGAAAAAGTCAAGCTAAAATCTGCAAAACAGAAGCAGAATGAAGCTAAAATTAGCACAAAAAAGTAAAAAAAAGCAGAACAAAAAGGTGAAAAGCGCCATAAAGATTCATAATTATTCTGAAGTGTTTTAAGGATGTTGAAAACAGCTCCATTCATTTTCAATTAGGAAAAAAACATGGCAGTAAAAGCTAAATATCTCAAAAAGTATAAATTGCTGAAACACAAAACGTCATATCTGGAATGACTGAAGGAGCTGAACGGTTTGATATTTTGTTAAAATTGAACTAAAACTCTTGAATAAGATACAGGCCAGAAACTGTACGGAAGAAAAAAAAAAACGCTTTAGAATAATTCTCACAATAAAAACAACAGTGTGGTCTTCGTTATTAGCCGATCGAATCATTCCCTGCAGGATCTGCAGCAATATGTTTCTGCTTATCAGGTTCTTCACTGAGCCTGAGCTGTAAGGAGGATAAAATATTAGAGTCAAACTTCTATTTCTACCCCCCCCCCCTCTTGTAGTGAATCACCTCCTTGTCCACACCAGTCAAAATCACTTTATAAAGTCTGAGTTGGCATACGTGCTCTCCGTCCCCCCCACCCCCTGCGCTGTGTTTCTCTCTCTTCATACATGCTCTGATAAGCTGTCAGAACTCAAGCTTTGGCCAAACGTCTCCATCATCCTCTCCGATGTTAAATAAAACTTGAAAAGAACAGATTTTTTTAAAAGAACCCCACCCAGTGAGAGCTGGCAGGCCTGCAGACCACAAATGAGTTCAGTTCTGGGCCTCGTGAGTAAACCTTTGTCTGCTGTAATCAGGGCAGATGAGTTGATGACAAAGTGTATTATCTTTTCCTCCCATTTCTAAACCAGAATATAAAACATAAAAATAAATATTTCCATTGGTCCTAGTCCCGTTTGTGTTAGGCCTCTGACTTCATTATTTTGTGTTTTTCTCGCGGAGCTGAGACAGCAGGGATCGCTCCTCTGACCTGTGGATCCTGGTAGATTTTCTGGGGGTCGTTCTCATAGCTGTCTATGTAGAGCCGGACGGTTGCTCCYGCGCTGCCTGTCCCGCTGAGACGGAAAATTATCCTGGAACCGTCGGAAAAGATGATCCGGAGGCCCTGAGAGAGCGAGAGAGAAGCAAAACAGAGACACGGGCCATCAGGAGAAAACGCAAACAAACCGTAAATGAAAAACATGTGGAGGGGTAAGAAACGAGGAGCCGTGACTCACAGCTGTGTGCAGACACTTACTAACRACTTCATCAGGTATTTACACTATATCAGAGTTTCAATGTTAATATTTTCTTTTAAAAACTTTAAACGATGTATTCTGCAAAAATGCTAAAGCTACAAAAACAAATCAGAACACTAGCTAAAAGACAGATAATGCTTGCTAAAAGGAACAAACTGCAAGCTAAATGTTAAAAGTAAAACACTACTAACCAAAAGCTAAAAGGAGAAAAATGTTTGCATAAAGCTAAAAGTGGCAAAACTAACCAAATAGTAAAAGAAGCAAAACGTTCAAATAGTTAAAAACTTAAATTATCAAAATGCTAGCTAAAAGCTTAAACTAGCAAAATGCGGATTAAAACTAAGTAAAGCAAAACGCTAAAAAATAGTAAAACAATCAAAACACATTCAAAATGTAAAAGAAGCAAAACTTTAAATAGCTAAAAACTAAAATTAACAAAATGCTAGCTAAAAGCTAAAACTAGCAAAATAAGGATTAAACCTAACTATAGCAAAATGCTAAAAAAAGTAAAATAAGAAAAAATTATTTGAAATGTAACAGTGGCAAATGTCATTTTAGAAGCTAAATGTAGCATAACACTAGCTAAAAGCTAATAGTAACTAAATACCAACTTATTATTTTAAAGGAGTCTGATAATAATGTATTTCAATGGGTAAAGAGTTTGTAAATAAAAGGTTAAATATTTTAAAAAGTACAAAAGTTACAAAAAACAAAAGTCATAGCAGGAATATCCTGATCAAGTCGAACATTTTGACATGTAAATTGTTAAAGTAGCACAAACGTTGTTACATAAAGAATGAAAAAAATAAAGAGAAACAGGAAGATCACATTGTCTAATCAGCACTGATACAATAATGTGCAATCAGCCTAAATATTATACCTTCCCTCAAATGTATATGAACTGCAGACCCCTTACCTGGTTTTTAGACACGCTGCCATCCACAGGGTCCGTATAGGCAAAGTTATCTGCAACGGCCACCACGTAAGTCTTATCGCCTGAGGAGAACTGCTTTCCAATAAAGGATGGCTCAGACATTTGCGCCTCTAGATCCTTCATCATCTTGTTAGCAGCATCTGARTCAACCTCCTCATAGTCGTATCTGGAAAGAAAATTCAACTTTGTTGATACAAAATGTCTAATTTGGGAAATTAAGAAAGTACCCAAACTTTTAAAGTGTTGCAGTTTTCTTTGTGGCCACTAGATGGTGCCAGAGTGACATTAGACAATCCAACATTTTACAACCAAACCTTTATCTTCCTCATCACTGTTCTAAACATTATTGAAACTAGAAATAGACAYGATTTCTGACCTGGTGAAAAAGTTCCTGCCAAACTTCTGCCAGTGATCCTTCATGATCTCCTCCACGCTTTGTTTCCTGGTGGCTAAGATTGATAACCACGCGAGAACGGCCCAGAGYCCGTCCTTCTCACGGATATGGTCTGAGCCTGGTTGATTAACAAAYCGAAGGGGTGAATAAGCGAGTGTGTGTTTAAAAAAAAAAAGATGTCGCTCTTGCATATGGGACTAAAATATGAAGACTTGAAACTCACCCGTGCCGAAGCTCTCCTCTCCACACAGTGAGAGTTTACCAGCGTCCATCAAATTCCCAAAGAACTTCCAGCCGGTCGGAGTCTCGTACAGCTGCATCTTCAGAGCTTTGGCCACACTTGAACAGATTTAAACACATTATAAAAACAATGAATCCGTGACCGGTGGCTTTAAAACKATTAAAATAAAAAGCGGTTTGTACTTGTCCAGAGCTCCACTGGTGGGCATGCTGCGAGCCAGTCCTTTCACACCGGTCTGTTGGAAGTACGGGATGGAAGTGATGTTGGCGCCAAGGACAGCCACGGAATCGGACGGGTTCACAAAGAAGCCGTGTTTACCAAGTATCATGTTACGGTCCTGAGGGGAGGGCAAGCGATGAGGGATTACGAAGCCGTTGCGTTAAAAGTGGCTCCTCGGCAGGAGAAGTTAGAATACTTACACCATCGCCGTCGAAGGCAGCTCCGAAGTCGTACTCTCCGCTTTTCATGTTGCTGACCAGATCGGCGGCGTAGGTCAGGTTGGGGTCAGGGTGATGACCACCAAAGTCCTCCTGAGGGATACAGTTGACAGCCGAGTTGGCAGGAGATCCCAGCTCTTCACATACGATCTTCTGGATGTAAGGACCAACCACTGGAGGGAGAAACTGTCGTCATTGTTCTACATTAAAAACAAACAACACGCGATCGTTTCCACGCGCCGTTCAGTACCTCCGTGCATTGCGTCCAGTTGAACGTTAATATGATTGGCTCCGGAGAGGAGGTCCTTCAGTGCAGCRAAGTCAAAAATGCCCCTCAGCATCTCGGCGTAGGCTTCCACCGAGTCGACGATCTCCACTGAGGAACCCAGAGAGCGTGTGAACGTTTCAGATAAACGTCAAGATCTTGTAGAAAAGRCAAAGGTTTTGTCTGCACCTGTAAAAGGCTTGAACGTGTCCACTTCGAAGGTATGCTTGCTGATCTTGGACAGATCCACTTTGAGCTCCGGACAGATGTGATACTCCTGCAGGCCTTTGCTGATCTCAAATATTTTGTTCGTGATGCCTTCAGGAGCAGGACCTGGGAACAGTTAAGTACAGTGGTGAAGAAACTACTTACTGACAGAAACACACATGAAAAATRAACTAAAGCCATAACAGTGTTCTTGATGTTTTTAATGTTTTTATTTGCTTTATGAAAATCTGTCTACAGCGACAGGAAATGAAAGTCTATGAACTTTTCTCACCCCCGCTGGAAATATTATACTTGATGCCAAAGTCTCCATTGGGACCGCCGGGGTTGTGGCTGGCTGTGAGGATGATACCACCCACTGCCTTTAACTTACGGATCACACAGGAAACGGCTGGAGTGGACATGATTCCATTCTGACCAATCACAAGATGACTAATCTAAAAAAAATAATAATAATAATAAAACAGAAAGAGGAGGACCACAGATTAATTCACACCTAATAAAAAAAATTCATCACATTTTTATATTGATTTGACAACAAGAAGATATAAAAATTGACTGTTTTGACTTTGTCCGTGTGATTTGCATCACTCCAGGAAAATAGCTTCTGGTCTCAATYGGCTTAATAGTTTCAAAACCTGCATTAAGAATCATAAACAACAAGAAAAAAGAACAGCAAAGTGTGTCATTATCAACAACCTGTAAGTGTGTGCACCTTTAACCTTTCAGGTTTTGAAATCAGAATCAGTTTTATTGCCACTGTCAGTGAACACACAGACAGTACCAACACCCATTCTTATTACACACATAAACGACGCATAACAAATTGTCTCCATCTCAGATTGTTTTGTGTAAGCATGTGTGCAGCAGGGCCTCTGGTTTTGCAACTTAAGTCAATGATACCATTACCCAATAAGGCATTTCTTAATATGGACCAAAAATTACAAAAAACAACCAGAATTGGACATTTCTTAGGAAGTTAAACCCACTAACACCATTAAACAGTACATTACTAAATGAAGCACTCTGACACAGGCAGAGTGGTTAAACTCAGTAAAGAGCAGGTCTCACTGAGCCCTATTTGGTACTTTAGCAATTAGTCTCATGCTTTAAGATCTGATTTAAACAAAAATAAAAATAAATGGTGTTTAAATAATTAAATGACCTAAATTTAAAGTAAAAATAGCAATAAATGCATGCAACTGGCAGCTGCTATCAAGGCCTTTAGGGCAAGCCAATTTATCATATAAGAAACATTATCTTTAAAGCAAATATTCACAATTTTTTCTTATCCAAATTAACATTTCAGCAAGACACAACCCATTCATTCCATCTAAAATCAATATTTCAGATTTCTCARACATCATTCTTCACCGGACAAACTATGTCATAACGAGGAAAAAGGGCACCATACAGCATTTGGTGACACAAACAACTATTAGGAATGTGACTGTGAGCGCAAAAAAAAATAAAATAAAAATAAAAAAGCCATTTGGAAATATAAACAGATTTTTTCCCCTGCCTGCAAGCTTGAAGGACTTTACAACTATTGAACCTAGATTTGGAGTTTAGATTCTTAGCTTAAAACATCAGCAGTACCTGTTGAAGTCAACCCTGTTTGTCATAAAAATTATCTTGTGAACAAGTGGGCAGAGTATAATGAAATTTTCAGTAACTAATGGATATATCTACTATTAATCACCTTTTGGAGTCAACTCACAAAGTAACTGTGGCAATCCAATTTTCTATAGGGGCTTTTTTTTTTATCAAAATGGAAGTCGGTATCTCACTTATTTTTCAAGTTTTTCAGCTCAGAAGACAGAAAATAACATCTAAAGACAATAAAATTGACATGAGACCGCGGTTTGATTGTCACGGTTTGATTATATGTCACAACGGCTTGCCATACACTACAGTGTCCGAAGCAGGCAGAGCAACGTGACAGGCTGCGCGTCACGCCCCCTTACACATTCAAATAAACACCACGGAAAGCTATCCTTTAAACACAATTAAACCCAGTTTTTTCTGTTTTCTAAAACAGAGTGAGACACAATCTTGGACTTTTTGTAAAAAATAAATTAAAAATGATTAAATATCGTGGTGCAGAAAGCAGCCGTTTCCGCGCATATAAATGTCAAAGGTAAATCATGCACGAGCACCACAAAGCCCCAGCGGTCAMGCGTCAGACTGCAGGGAAAACAGACAGGAATCAATAACAACAGCTGAATGAAGATGAACCWGACAAGGACTGTCCAGAAGTTTCCCATCACTTCAGGCTAACTGAGCAGGCTAACATTAAAATGTCATGTTAGCTCAACATGGGTGAAGCAATGAATGGAGTTAGCTAAACTAGTTTTAGCATTAACCTTACCATTTGTTGTTTATTTTTTTCGTTATTATTGATAGCATTGAGCTAATGAGGTTAATTAACCTCTCCTGCAGAAATGTTGCATGAAAATGATCAAACACAAAACAACCTTGACAGCTCGATGTGAACTTGCTAGCATACATGCTAACCCAGAAGTGTCCCTCTCCTCCTCCAGACTCACCCCGTTGGCTGCAGCGATCTGAACGATCAGCTGAATGGCGTCCTTCATGAARAACCTCCCGTCTCCCCCCACCACCAGGGTGGCCGTCTGGCGCTCCGCGGGCTCGATGACAGAGATAATGCTCTGGATGAAGTTCTCCGCATAGTGCTGGTTCTGCTGGAACACCGTCACCCGCTTCCTCAGACCGCTCGTCCCGGGCTTCTGGTCCGTGTACGGCTTGGTCTTGACGGTGCTAATCTTCACCATTTTATGTTTATTTTTTTCTGAGACGGAACGACTTGACGGTGAGTAACCCCGGGGCTGTCCGCAGTGTGGTCCGACAAGGAGGCGAGGTGACTGCAGAACCGCTGCCAGAGGCCACACGGCCACCTCCCCCTCTCAGCCCCGCCCTCTCTGTTTAAAGGGCCACGGGAGATGTCCCAAGTACCGCTATGCAACTGATGGTGCACGAATGCACCCACATACCATCAGAGAGGCAGGCTTTTGAACTGAGGACTGGATGGTTATGGTTTTTGGACATGAACATCTTAGGGATCAACTTTGCAGCCTTTCACCTCCTCTGGATTGCGTTAATCTGGCCTCCAGTTCTAATGTAAAGAACGGGGCTGGGCAGTCCTGGTCCTCGAGGGCCGCAGCCCAGCAGGTATTATGATTTTCCCTGCTCCAACACACCTGATTCAGAC